TGGAGTGCGGAGGAACAGGATGCTGAAGGAGGGGAGGGGTGAAAAGGAGCTCTGGGGATGCAGAGAGCGGTCAAGGCGGCGCCAAGCGCGCGTCCAGGCTGACTCGTGGCCCCGCCCCGCCCGGCAGATACCTGGAGAAGTACCTGGCGCGCTTCCTGGAGACGGCAGAGCAGCACTTCATGGTGGGCCAGCGCGTGGTCTACTACGTGTTCACCGAGCGCCCGGCCGCCGTGCCCCGCCTGTCGCTGGGCCCGGGCCGCCAGCTGCGCGTGGAGCGCGTGCCCCGCGAACGACGCTGGCAGGACGTGTCGATGGAGCGCATGAACACTCTGCACGCGGCGCTGGGCGGCCGGCTGGGCCGCGAGGCGCACTACGTGTTCTGCCTGGATGTGGACCAGTACTTCAGCGGCCCCTTCGGGCCCGAGGCGCTGGCCGAATCGGTGGCACAGCTACACTCCTGGCACTACCACTGGCCGCGGCGGCTGCTGCCCTACGAGCGCGACGCGCGCTCGGCAGCCGCGCTGGCGCGGGACGAAGGCGACTTCTACTACCACGCGGCCCTGTTCGGGGGCAGGGTGCAGGCGCTGCGCCAGCTGACGGCGCACTGCGCGCAAGCCCAGCAGTGGGACCGCAAGCGCGGCCTCGAGGCGCGCTGGCACGACGAGAGCCACCTCAACAAGTACTTCTGGCTGCACAAACCCGCCAAGATACTGTCGCCCGAGTTCTGCTGGAGCCCGGAAATCGGCCGGAGGGCGGAGATCCGCCGCCCGCGCCTGCTCTGGGCGCCCAAGGATTATGCTGTCGTGAGAAACTAGAAGCCAAGACCTGGCCTCGCCCCACCTGCGGGACACCTTGGGCACCCGGAGGATGAGGAGTGGGCGCAACAGCAAGGAGAGACCCAGAAGCCATTTGGGGTCCCTCCTGGAAGCAGCATAGCATTTCGGAGGGCAGGGAGAGATGGGATGAAAACAGTCCTACTACCCCCTGTGTAGTAGATGCAGCACCGGAGGAGGAGGTGCTGGCCTTTGAAAGTGTTTTGTGCTGGTCTCAGCCTATGAATAAGCAGTGTTGTGGTTGGACCAGCCCCTGTGGCTCTCTTGTGATTGCAAGATGCCTTTCAGCAATAACCATCAGGATACTTTGGAAAAAATCAAGGTTTAATACTTACAGGACTTGGCAATTACACAGCACACCTGGGGCCACAGGGCAAGCTCGCCGGTAGAGAGAGAGCCTCCCCCACCCCATCCCCTAGCCTGGCGTTCTACTTTTATTAGGATTGAGGGTGGGGTCCTAGGACTTCAGGGACTCACTCTGTTGGTGAATTCAGAATATAAGAATGGGAATTTAAAGCTCAGGAAGACAAAAGAAACAAGTGGCCCAAATATTGAAATCAACCAAGATCTCAAAAACAAAGGAGCCACGATGCGAGGGAGGCAGCCTGGCTCTCTAGTAGCTAGCAATGTGTTTATTCCAGACAACCCTCTTTGAAGTGGATGCGTTGGCAATCAAAGCTTAAATCAGGCACTTGCATTACAAAAAGGAAAAAATGGGCTGCCGTGGTTTACATTACAGGGAGCTTCTCACTGGAAGAGAAACCTCCCCTTTCCTGCACTTTCAACAGGGACTGAGGCACATAGACCATTCACCTCCAACCTTACTGAATTCAGCTAACTGCCTCCTGAGGAGGTGTTTTAGCCCCTCTCACCTACCTCCTACCCCCGCCCTTTTTTTTTTTATATAAGGAGACTGAGGCACAAAAAGGGAACATAAATCCCTAAACACATAGAGGATCAACATGAGTCAGTCTGTGAGGTCAGCAGCTGGAGAGCCAGTCTTGGCTCTCCAGCCAAATAGAGCTGCCTTTGGGCATTAACCACAAAGGGAGAAACACCAGCGACATCCAGTTCCCTGGCTTTGCACTTTCACCGCCTTTGCCCTCAGTGTAATTTGTACATATTTAGTTAATGTTATTGTAAACGAAAAAGGGGCTATGAAATAAACCCGACAAGCTCAGGGAGGTCACATGGCAGTCCTGCCAAGCTCAGTGACCAAAAGTAATCACACAGGATGGTCTGATCATAAATTCCTAACTGGGCGGGTCGTAGTGGATGTCATCTCCCAGACCTCCAGCCTCCTTAGCAGAGGTCAATCTTTACCTTAAGTGAGCTTTGTCCATCGTTCTTATGCATCTAGGATAACATACCTTTGAGATGTTAGAGTAATTTTCTAGACCCCTTGAAGGCACAACCACAAGCACCAGATCACAAGACCACAGAACCCTCATTGTTATCTTGTTCCCCCTGCATACCATTCTATGTGCTGTAAATGTTAATTACTGACTATCCTGTACACACCAATGTAAAAGAAGTATGTGTTTCTCCATTTTGCTTTTTATCCACTTTTAGGGATTTCCCTGCTTTGCTTTCTCTCACTTCCCTTATCTATCACCAAAAGTTTGCATGTACCTTCCTTACATTTTTCTCATTTGATTCTAAATGCATAAAAGGAACTGCAAAACTGCCATTCTCCAGAGCATTTTCTCGGTCACTTGAGATTTTGCTTTTGGGCATGTCCTCAAAATTTGGCTCAGGTAAACTTTTTTTTTTAAGATTTTTATTGGGGAATTGGGGGAAGGGGAACAGACAAGTTGCTGTCCTTTTGTACTTCAGTCTAGTTGTGGAGGACGTTGCTTCACTGGTCCAAGTTGGCACCATCATTGCGCTCTTCCCGGACGAGACAGATCAGTCTCCGGCTTCTGGACGGCTGCTCACTGCGGCTGCTGGCCGCTCACGCTGGCTGCTGGCTACACACGGTAGCCCATGGCAACCCACTGCCACAGGGGCTGCAGCCTACGCCGTCGCCGGCGACTCATGGCAGCCCAGCTCCAGGTTGAGCTGTTGTTCAGCATCTTAGCTGTAGAGGGCAGTGTCACTGGCCCTCACATGTGGGATCCGAACCGGGGCCCTCTGGCGTCCCAAGCCAGTTCTTAACCATCGCGCCACTAGGCCGGCCCAGCATGTCCTGATTTAATGAGGAAACGATGGCACAGTCAGGGGTTTCCAGATGCTGGGCTCCAGCAGCCTCATGCTGTGGGTGAAGACCTTCCTGAGGAGGGGGAGGAGTCAAGGAAGCTACAGGGTGGAGCCGTGGACAACTTCTTGGGAACAACCTTTTGGGAACAGTTCCCTCCTATGTCCTATGTAGAGGCCTAAGGTGGGAGTGCGGGTAGTAGATGGGCTTGGGCTGAAGCAGGAATAACAAGGGGGATAAAGTTCCTTCTGCAGCTACTTCTCTGGCCATCAACACTGTCCTCAGGACATATGCTGGGGCCCTTAGGGACAGTGGAAGCTCCTGAGAGTTTCCCGGCTAACAGGTGAAAATCAGACCCATTCCTGAGCGTCACTGCTACCCTGCAAAGTCTTCACCTGCCCCACCCTGCTATCCCAACTGAAATGCTGCGCCCAAAAATTCCCACGTTCAGCCGTGTAGTCAGGGTTCATTGATCATAAGAGACAGATCCACCAGGGCTACATCAAATAATGACAATAACAACAACCACATTTACTGGGTACTAAGTTCTCGGCACAGTTCTAAGCATTAGGCGTTTATTGATTCATTTAATCCTCACATCCACCCTATAAATTGATTACTATTATATCCCTCATTTTATGTATGAGAACATCAGGCACAGAAAGTTGAAGTACTTACCCAGTGTCATACCACTAGCAAATCAATTCACTGATGTGAGAACAAGCAGGAAATTAAACTTGGGAGAGAAGATAGAAACTGAAAGTCAGGAACTGACGTTGCCACTGGCTCTCGGTCTCCTCTGGCCATCTCTGCTTCTCTCTGCCTCCTTTGTCCTTCTGCTTATGTCTGACCCAACACAGCTACCCCCACCCCCAGTCCACAGGGTTTTCCCATTCAGGTGCCCACCATCTCTTCTTCTCAATTCATGGGGAGAATCAGATGGGAGAGTTACCCAGTAGTGTGCTGATCAATGTTTAGCAACTGGCTTTTTGAGGAAAAAGAAAGCCCCGATCTGTAGCATTTGCCAGTTTCCATGATGTAAATCCCACCACGGCTGACTTCAAAGCACAACAGTTACTGAATGTAGAGTTAGGAAGAGGTGTGCACAGTCCGCTCTCATGAACCAGGACAGCCAGCACAGCAGGTCCTCAAATAACATTTCCTTGTAACGTTGATGAGATGCCATGGGAACTTAATTCTTGTTTATATCAATTAGCCTATGGTAAAATTCGTTTTGTTATGTCGCGTTTCTCTTAATGTTGCAGAACCTATCATCACATTGAGGATTTACTGAACACATTACCAGCATAAGGATCAAGCCACTGAGTCAGGTATCTGCCCTTGCTTGACCAATCAGCTGTGGCTGGGATAGGGTCACGTGACACAAATATGGCTGCCAGAGCCCACCCCTTCATGGCCCAGCAAGCTGTGGGAAGTCAATTTCAGAAAAAAAGGCCTCTGAGATTACTCGAAACACATTCTTGGCTACTCCAATCCATCCCGCCTTCTGATGGGAAAATATTCTGGTTTCCTCTTGGGGAGATATACTTCAAATGGAGGCTTCACCCTCTGCCTCAGGCTTACAGCGTGGGCTCTAGCTCTAAGCCAATCAAGTAGATTTTCTGGTCACTGACCAGAGGTTCAGGGATGGTACCTAACCCAGTTCAAATCAGGAAGACACAATTAAACTTTTGCTGCGGCTTCTGGGAGAGACAGAGGCTTGACTGCTGGGAACCTGGGGGCTGTGAGGCTGGAACTGCTGACTCTGGAACGGGAAGATGAAACCAACTCTGAGAACAAAGCCAAGTGGAGAGCTGGAGACACATCATTGAACCATGAGCTGGCCTGACCCCTGCAACGTCCTGCTCAGTAAGCCAATAGAGCCTTGTTTGCATTGGGCTTTCTATCCCTTGTAGCCAAGTCTCCTCACACAAGGACTGTGAAGGCTCAGAGCTCCATGGTGGCTCATGGCTGAGTTACTTGTCTCTCCCACAACGCCTAGCACATGGCCAGCCCTGATAAAACCTTAGGGGGATGAATCCCTGCATTTCCCTCCTAGGCAATCAAGACACTGACCCCCCCCCCCCAGAGTGAACCTATGTGAACTGGAGTTCTTGGTTCATTTAATCACTGGAATAACTTCCACAAATCAGGGCTCTCATGATACGGACCCCCAAAGAGGGGTGGAATAACCAGATGTGGCTGCCCCTCTGGGAGAAGGGGCAGTGAACCTCATTGCTGGACCCCGTACATCTAAAAAGCCGTCAGAATTAGACAAACCTAAGTTAAATTTGGTTCCTTGCCATGTAATTACAGCATGATCCTGGGCAAAAAAACCTCTCCGGGTTTGTTGCCCACTTGATAAGGGGTTGTGAGGCAATCAACCCCAGGTATTCAGCTGAGCAGCTGGATGGGGACCCGCCCACAGTAAGCGGCCATTTCCTTCTGCCCAAGTCTGGGGGGCGGGGGAGGGGAGAGGAGCAGTGGAAAGGTGCCCCCTGCCCCGCCCTCGCACAGAGCACACCACACACCGCCGCCACCCAGGTGCAGGTACAGTTTATTCTTCACAACAGAGAAATACAAAGAGCAGAGGGTTTGGAATTCCTTTGTGTCTTGTTTTAGTGTTTTCCCCCACATTTGATTTTGTATTTTGCTCCTCACCCCTTTTCTTAAATGCAGAATTCCTCACTGAAGCGTTGATGGGCGCCTGCCCTCACCTCCCTGCCACCAAGATGCAGACTGAGAAGCCAACAGACTGTTTTCTCTTTTTTAATAAGGTAACTAGTTCTAAATACGGTGGCTTGGAGGTCCCATAGAAAAAAGCAAAGGGTGTTAACAGTATGTATAACAGCGTATTTACAGGGTAGTAACATGCGGACAAAAAGCTACAATACTGAGTATCAGACGACGCAAGTCAAACAAAGGGGTGGGGTGGGGGCAGAGAACCCCGTGGGAAAAGAAACCCCAGGAAACGTTTAACTGGTAAATCAATGGTGAGTTAAGGCTTAAAAAGTGTATAAAAATAACACAGTTAATATTCAAAACGGAACTCCAGATACAGAATATATAGATGAGTTTCTATTTTTTTTTTCCCCGGGGGGATGGAAGGGGGCTTCTCCGGGCTCTGTACATAGTTCCTATATACACGGACACGCATGGCTTTCAGATTGGGGTGTGTCTGTGGGGGCTGAGGGCAGGGGCTGCTCTCGGGATCCTCCTTTCCGAGGACCCCTTCCCTGCCCTGCCGAGGGGCCTAGGGCCTGGGCTGGGGGACTCCCCCTCCGTGGCAGGGAAGACAAATAATCCCTCCCTGGGTACTGCCCCATCTGGAGGAAATTATGGAGGGGGTCATAGCCCCAGGCCCACTCCCTCCCCATCCCCCTGCTCACAGTCTGGGATGGTGGGAGAGGTAGCCAATAGGTTTCCTGGCCAGCACCGAGGTAGACTGGGGTGGTCTTCAGGGCAGCGAGGGGTCGGGGGGGTGGGAGCGCAGGTCTTACCCATCCCACCCCCACTCCGTTTCAACCCAACACTGTTGGGTGCCCAGCCCAGCACTGCACCCTTTGGTCCTGCGGGTCTCCTGGCCTGTCTTGTTCCGCCTCCTGAAGGCTGGGCAGCTCTGGTAGCTGCTGCCTCCCTCTGCTCAGTGATGCCCAGGGTGCAGCTCGAGGTCCGAGCAGGGCACCCAAGGGCACCCAGGGTGAGTGGCTCCCTCCAGCTGCCTCTTGCCCCCTCCCACAGGGGCCCCCTTTGCAGTCCAGCATCTCAGGCCTGAGCCTTCCCTCAAGACCCGAGGCTGTGGCACGAGAAGGCCCCATGCTGCCCTCTGGTTCTCTGTGTCCATCTGTCCAACTCTCAATTTCTCGGTCTTAGCAGCACCAACTTCTTGGCCAATAAATATCTTTTTTGTTATTTCCAAAACAAAGTTAAAAAAGAAAAAGAAAAAAAAAAAACAGTGAAGCAAGTGAAGGGTGGGGGGAAAAAAGAAAACCCGACAGAGAGGTTCAAAGTGCTCTGAGATCATCTTTGGATGCCACCAAACAGTCCAGAATCTTGCAGTTGGCCTGGCCACCCCCGGAGCTGGACTGGGCAGGGCTTCTGCGGCCCAGGCTTTCTGGAAGGTCAGGAAGGTCATGAGAGAGCTCAGCTGTTCCTGGAGGGCCCTGGCGGGAGTTGGGCCCTGGTGCTGCCTGGGTCTGTGTCTGCCAGTGGGCGGGGCGGGGCGGGGCGGGGCCTCAGGTTGGCTCAGATGAGGGAAATTCGCACTGGGATGCCGGGGGACTCCGTCCTCTGGGGCGAGTGATGGCTCACCAGGTGCTCCACCACCGTGTGTTTGGACATGTGCTTCATCAGGTAGGTCTCCTGTGGGCAGGGGTGAGATTCAGAACATAAACACCACCAGCTGGCAGGGGAGGCAGAAGAAGCTGAAATTCCCACAAGTGGCCACTGGAGGGCTCCTTGGCCGGTGGGCCAGCTAGTGTTGAGCAGCCACAGGTTTGTAGGGCAGATGAGCATCCCGCATGGGTTCTAGGGATGGTGCATCGCTGCCAGGGGCGGGGGCTAGCTCAGTGACCCGAGTCCGAGCCCACAGCTTGCTGGCTGTGGAGCCAGCAGGCACCAGACTCACCCCTTAGCAGTACCCACCTGCAACGCCCCAGGGCCAGGCCAGCTGGCTGTAGCGGGATACACTGGCTGAATCTGAGCCTGCCTGCCTGCTCCAGCATAGCTTCCCCCACCTGGCTGGTGCTCCCGGTGAGGGTTGAGCAGCAGGCCTGGGCTTTAACCTAGTTCTGGAAAAGTCATCTCACCCATCCAAGCCTCAGCTTCCTCCTCTGCAAGCAGTACTGGGGAAGGAACAATATCAAAGGGTTGCTAGGATGATGTGGATCAAGTTCTTAGCATGCAGTAAGGGTGGAGGAGACCATTCCTTCCCTGAACTCTGGATTTCACTCCAGGTGGTGGTGGGAGCCCCAGCCTCTGCACCCCCACACTCGATCCTCCCTTGGGGAGATGCGGGGCCTGATCTGATCGGTGACTTTGGAAGCATAAACTGGGCATACTCAGCTCATCCCTTGAGCACTCCCCCACGGCTCTGGTAAGTCTGACCTGGCACTCAGGAATGCGTGGGTGAGGTGACCCAAGGCTCACCTGCAGGCCCACAGGCCCTCACACTAAGCTGCAAGGTGGTGCTCTGTTTCCCACCTGCCAATCCTTGGCCTCATACCTCAATTTGCTCAGAATCCAGCAGAGGAAGCCCTCAAATGTGGTGTCCACATGCTATCAAACAACACCAGAGGGAAGCAATCAGCAAAATCCAAACTAAGAAAACTATTCTCCAATGAATAAATTGAAAAAAAAAAAAAAAAAAGCAGGGGTGGGAGGGGAACCAAGATTAAAAGATATACTGACCCAGTGCAATGTAGAAATCTTCTCTGGATCTTGATTAAAAAATACAATTGTGAGTAAATAAAATTATGGCATTCATGAGACAAATGAAAATGTGAATGCTGATTGGGTATTTAAAGATATTAAAGACTTACTGTGAATTATTTTAAGGTATTATATAGCTCTTGTGGATATGTTCGAAAAAGGAGTCCTTATGTTCAGAGACACAAAGTGAAAATTTTCAGATGAAACAATATGTCAGTTTTACTTCAAAAAATAGGAATATGGATGAAACAGGAATGGCTGATGGCTCTGGAGGCTGATGGGAAGGAACATAAGGATTCACTATTCTAAAATGTTTCTTTTACATATTAAAGTAATTTAAAAATCAATTTATTAAAATGTTAAAATAAAAAAGGTAATTATTCTTGCGCTGTAGAGTCCAGTCAGGCCCGGTTCAGGGTGGGGCCTCAGGCCAGGAGAGAGCTGACCACCCCTCGCCCCCAGCGTTCAGACAGATCCCCTCTAAGAGCCACAGCTGTGAACGCCGGCAGCCCCTTTTCTAAGAGTGGGCATGTATGTGTAGGAGGCTCAAGAACTTGAGGCTGGGGCTGACTGAAAGTCAGCTGCGTGGGGCTCCTAGGTCTCTGCGGCTCCCACGTATCCCCTTAGGGCCTACGTCCCTGCAGCTTCTGTCCTCGCAGTCTCTGGGTTCTCGCCTGCCCTTGGAACATACCTAGCACTCAGCAAGCTGGGGCAGTGGCTGGCACCTGACTGATACTGCTGACCCCCCCACCAGCAAACCCTGAACTCCCTCCAGCCAGAGTGACCTTTCAAAAATACCCTACTGTCCTGTCCCCTCCCAATGGCCTCCCATGCCACCTGGAAAAATATCCAAACTCCCTAACAGGGCCCACAGCCCCATGTGACCTAATTTTCTTTCAGTTCCTGGAATACACGTGTTTGTTCTACCTCGGGGGGTTTGCATTCACTGTTCCCCTGCATGGAATGTTCTTTCCCTTTCTCCTCCCTCCTCCTCCTCACTCTCTTTCCCAACTCTATTTTGTCTTCCCTGGGGCTGTCTTTCAAAACATACTTTTTTCATAGTAGTGGCTCCATCAGAGGTGATTCCACACCCCCAGGGGACATTTGTCAAAGCCTGGAGGCATTTTGGGTTGTCACAACTTGGGAAGGGGGGCTGCTAGTGGGCGGAGGCTAAGGCTCTTGCTGCCCCCTACAATGCACAGGAGAGCCCCCCGCAAAAAGATATCCTGCCCAAACATCAGCATGGGCTGAGGCTGAGAAACCCTGCTCAGAGCACTTACCACAATTTGTCATTACATATTTACTTGTGTGGTTACTTGTTTAACATGTCTCTAGCAGCAGACTCTACCCTCCTGGGAGCCAAGACTATATATGTCTGATTCATCCTGATTCCCAGGTGCTGGCACAGTGTTCAGTAAACAGAGTGAATAAACAACTGTGTTAGCTAAGGCGGGTAAGGTGCCAACTATGCCAGCCAACAGCCCTATGAGTTAAGAACTATCAATTCCTCCATTTTATAGATGGGAAAATTGAGGCTGGGTGATCTCTATCTGGGTATGCACAGGGGTCTGTTACTCAGGATATTTGATTAGCCAGAAGCACACACATGTGACTCACTTCAACTCCCTCTTCTGGGTGCTGAAAGGCCCTTGTTTTGAGAAATTCCCAGCCAGGGACAGGGGACTGGATGGGATGACCTTTCCAGCACTGTACAGACCTTTCTGAGACATGAGGGTGGCTCTGGGCAAAGTCACTCTGCCACCTTGTGGCCATGATGAGAGTTGCACCTCCCCCCATGGGATAAGGCCCTTCTCCCGCCCCGGCCCTGGAGAGCAGGGTGCCAGGCCCCCTGCCACTGCCTGGGGTGTTCCAGGGCCTGGAGCGAACCACACCTCAGAATCCAGGCTAAAAAGGCCAGCAGGGCACTGGGAGCTCAGCCTGGAGCAGCCAAAAAGTTCTCAGAACTGGGAAGCAGAAGCCCTGTGATCTTGAGTAGTCACTTCCCTTCTCTGGGCCTCAGTTTCCTTGTCTGGAAATGGGGAGAGTCAGTGCAGCTCAGAGGAGGAGGCTGAGGTGCAGGGGGAGGCGGAGGCCCAGGGGCCAGCAGGCACTCACCGAGGTGTAGGCCCGCCCGCACATGCTGCAGCAGTATGCCTTGGCGTGCTTGATGGCGTGGGCCGAGAGGTGGATCTGCAGGGAGGCGGAGTCCGAGTAGGCCCGGTAGCAGTTGGGGCACTTGTAGGGCTTGTCCTTGTTGTGTTGGCGCTGGTGAGACTGTGGGGAGTACAGCAGGGTGTCAGGAGCCAGCAGGCCTCCCCCAGCTCCAACCCCTTCTTATGCTCCCTTCTCGGGAAGGCAGCTAGGCACCTGGGGGACAGCAGGTAGGTGGCCACTCACCTGGAGGTTGGAGAGCTGAGTGAAAGCCTTTTCGCAGCCAGGATGCGGGCACTTGTAGGGTCTGTCGCCTGTGTGGATTCTGCAATGGGGCAGCCCAGTGAGGTGGAGTCCCTGACAGATGCCCCCAGGCCAACTCCAGCCCCCAAGCCTCCCAGACTTCACTGCACGCTTTCCCCAGACTGAGCCCCAGGCAAAATCTGGGACTTCAAAGGCTACCCCCTCTCCTTCTTCCTCTGGCTTCCTACTGACAATATATGACTAGAGCCACCCTGCTCCCCAACGTCCCTGCTGAACCCAACTCTCCACTGGCACCCACTCAGAGCCCGGCCCAGGCCGTCAACTAGTCATGGGGGGCTTGCCCCTCTTTTCTAAAAATCCCACCTTTGCCAGGACCTCCCCTGCCCACCTGCCTCTTTCCCTCAGAAGGAGACCTCTCCCTCTGACTGGCCCACAATTTCTGTCTCTTCCCCCCTCCCCGTGTCAGGCACGTGTCCACGATGGCTACATGTCACCTCGGGTACTGAGAGAAGGCGGGACTGGGTGGCCCTGAAGCTCAGCCCCTCTGTCCTCCCATTCCTGCTTTCTCCTCCTGGCTCCACCATTTACTAGCTGGGTGACCTTGGCCAAATCACTGAACCTCGGATTCTTTATCTGCAAAATGGGTATAAAAATATAGTTCCTCCCTCACTGGGTTTTGTGAAGATACATTAGATAATGCGTAAAGGGCTTAGCCAAGTAGTGGCACAACACTTGCCAGTATTATCATTCATTCATTTAACAGTTGTTACATCAGGTACTCGTGTACCAGGCACCATGCTAGGTACTTGGAATGTCTCAGTGAACAAAACAGACAGTCAGCATGGCATAAGGAAGTCACACGTGGGACGTAATAAGTGCTGTGAGAATAAGGTGAGGGGATCATGAGTGCCAGAGGGGGAGGGGTGCAATTTTACATTGGGTGACCAGGGTGGGGCCTCATGGAGAAGGTGACTTTGGAGCAGTGACTTGAAGGTTGATGGCGGTATTTTCAGTTAAAGTCTGAGGTGCAGCTTGTGCTGGTCCAACAGCCCGATGAGGACAGAGGTACAGAGCTGGGGTGCGTCCATGGCGCTCAGGAGCCCAGCACACACGGACAGACGGGGGGCCCTCCCTGCTCCCCACACAAGCTTCTCACGATCACCCTGGGCTTCTCTACTCAGCTGTTCTAGTGGAAACTCTGTGCCAAACAGGTGGGCAGTGAAACGCCGGCTGGGCCTGAACCTCGTTTGCCTAAATTTCCAACAAGCATCAGGCGGAGGAAGAAGTCAGCTCTGGCCGCACGGGGTCGGCTCCTCCCCTAGAGCCCAGCCCACCTCGCTGACTGGGTTTGCTCTGCTCGTTAACAGGCTCATCAAACAAACTAAGGCCCCCCTGGCTGGGCCCCATGCTAGGAGGGGTTGACGAAGGCACACTCCCTGCCCACGACATCGAGTGCCCACTATGAACACCGACAGAGTCCCAATTCCTTTGTGTGTTGTGCAAGGCCCTTTGCTGTGTGGTCCAGCCTCACTCGGCTCCCTGCTTCTATGCACCCTACGTCCTGGTCAGAGAACCATCTCTCATCTGGCAACCACGCGTGAGCGATGATCCTGCCGACCACCCCTGTGCCCTGGCCACTTCCTCAGCAGGACGGGCCACGCCTCCTGTCTGTCTTCTCAACTAGACGGGGAGTCTCAAGGGCGGGGACGGCCCAGTCTCAGGTGCAAGGCCAAGTGGAGCTGGGCTGGCCCGGTTCTGAGAACCCCTATCCTGCCTGCACATCTCGGGGGTGTCACATGTTTGGGGACATCATCTCAGGCATCATCTCTACATTGAAGGGACCTTAAGGGTCATCTGGGCCGACTCCACCTGATGTCAGAGTCCCCACCATTTCATCCCATCCTCAACTCTCCTTCAGGGCTGTGCAATTCATTCAGCTAGGGGTCCGGTAGCAGAGGGGACTAAGGGACCCCAGACATGCACTGATTTTGCTTTAAACCCCACAATCCCCGCCCCCCGCCCCCCAGAGTCCTTGCCTCCTGCGGCTGCCCAAGTCACGCCTTTCCCCTGCCCCAGGGCTCCAGCCCCACTAACCTCCCACTGGCGTTCCAAGTTCTTTCCTCTCACCAGTCCTTTATCCAGGCTGTTTCCTCTTCCAGCCACACGTTCCCTCAGCTAAAACCTGCCTAAAACCCACACTCTGTTCTCGTAAAAGCCCCTTGTTCGGGGCAGCCTTCCCTGAGCCCCCAGACTAGGCCTGGCCCCTACAGTCCACCCCTCAAGCAGAATTCTGTGCTGTCACTGTCCAATCACTGATTTCTTGGCTGCCTCCTGAGGGTAAGCGCTTGGTCTCATTCACCACCATCACTCCAGGGCCTGGCATAGGCTCAGCAGAGAGGACTCAATTCATAGACTGAATAAAGGAAAGAACTTTCTCTCTGAAAGTTCTCTCTGAAGTCAGTCACTGACAACAGTTACTATGCTCAACATAATCAACAACGTCCATTCCTTGGATGTATTTCACAAATGTTTGTTGACTGATCGTTGGTCCTCCGGGGACTACTTCACGTCCTTCCTCAGGGACCCGGCCAAGCTCTCTTGACCAGGAAACTCCCCCTATGGCCTCCTCTCCAAGGGCCACAGCTGCTGGGCCTCCTGCCTGGACTCCCAGCCTCAGCCTCTCCCTCCTGACCACCACCACAGCAGCAGCCCAGGGATCTGACTTGTCATGGCCCTGCCTCCCTGACTCCACTGCCTCCCCTGCCCCAATGTTCAAGGCCTGAGTTTCTAAAGCCACACCCCCTCTGCCACTGCTCTCCCCAGTGGGTTGTCTTACCAACCTCCCCACAACACATGCAGACATATCCCCCGGCAAGCCTCTGAGCCTTTGCTCATGCTGTTCCGCCTGCCGGAAAACACCCTTCCCTTCTCACTAGGACCCTTCAACACCAGACCCAGAAGATTCTCCCCAGCCTCCACTACATCCCTCTCTATCATGGAAGTTTCCACATCTACCAGCCTCCCAAGTTGCAGTGGGAGCTCCTTTGGGCCAGAGCCTGCCTCCGACCACTGACATGTCCCTGTGTGTGGCACCCAGCACCGGGCTGGCTCAGAAGAGGTTCCAGGGAGCAACTATTGGATGAAGGAAGGACCAGGCTGCCTGTTCTCACTGAAAACTGACCGCAAGGCTCGTCAGTCCTTGATTTTCAAGTCAGAACCAAGCCCTCAACTCCAACACCAGAACCCTGTTTGTGGGGCATCGTCCCACTGGGGGAGCAGCCAGCCCTGGCTCCCACACCTGTGATGATGGGGAGCTCACCACCAACTCCAGGTGCAGGCAGATCAAGGAAGCTGAACCGAAATGGGTGCCCCTCCACTCCTACTCCCCCAGCCCCACCCCTGGGATCCAAAGACTTTCTGTGCTCTCCTGCCTGGTACCTCCATCCCCGTGTGAGTGCGCTCTGCACCCTGACATTCCAGCCCCTTCCTTCCGCTGAGGCATGGGCTGCTCCTAGGTGCTCTGGGCTCAAATCTCACTTCTGCCTCCTCTTAGCAGGGTGACTGTAGGCAAGTGACTTTGTCTCCCTGAACCCCCGTTTCCCCATATCTACAACAGGGATAATAATAAGGATTGTAAGGACTGTCAGAATTAATGACTCATATAAAGGGTGTTCATAAAATGTTTGCAGTGTTAGTTTTTAATATATCCATTTCTAGTTAAGATAAACAATTAACAAAAAACAACAGAAAGGGAATTTATTTAGTGTTTACATGAAAGGATTCATTAGTTATCATTTATCTTTTATTTCCCAGGTGATCAATGGCACATCACATGGACTGGCTTCAGTCACATTGTGCTTTGTAACTAAAATAATGGTGGCGACAATGAAAGTTAACCTTCCTGGGCCGGCCGAGTGGCGCGATGGTTAAGAACTGGCTTGGGACGCCAGAGGGCCCCGGTTCGGATCCCACATATGAGGGCGAGTGACACCGCCCTCTACATCTAAGATGCTGAACAACAGCTCAACCTGGAGCTGGGCTGCCATGAGTCGCAGACGACGGCGCAGGCTGCAGCCCCTGTGGCAGTGGGTTGCCATGGGCTGCCGTTTGTAGCCAGCAGCCCCTGTGGCAGTGGGTTGCCATGGGCTGCCGTTTGTAGCCAGCAGCCCCTGTGGCAGTGGGTTGCCATGGGCTGCCGTTTGTAGCCAGCAGCCAGCGTGAGCGGCCAGCAGCCAGCGTGAGCAGCCAGCAGCCGCTATGAGCGGCCGTCCAGAAGCCAGCGACTGATCTGCCTCACCCGGGAAGAGCGCAATGATGGTGCCAACTTGGGCCAGTGATGCAACGTCCTCCACAACTAGACTGAAGAACAAAACGACAGCAACTTGTCTGTTCCCCTTCCCCCAATTCCCCAGCGCTGTTCCCATCCCCCCAATTCCCCAATAAAAATCTTTAAAAAAAAAAAAAAAAAAAAAGAAAGTTAACCTTCCTCGGTCCTTCACACTTAACTTGAAAGCTAACCTTCCCTCTCCATAGCATTTTTCAGGTTCGTTATGTCTCATTTAGAAACACAACTCACACTGTATAAGGACTTTATGGACACCTTGTATGGAAACACCGATGCAGGGCCGAGCTTTTGGACAAGGAATAGCTTGTGATTTTATTGCCATTTCTATCATCAGACTTGAGAAAACAAAAAGACACCTGCCCCTGCCACAGTTATCATTACACCTGTACACAACATCACAGCCAGGAGAAGAAAAACAAAAGCAAAAAAACCCACTCTGCAACCTGAATAAACAAACAAACAAATCCAGAGTCATTCTGTCTACCAGGAGCTCTCCCCCAAAATAAAACTTTGAGCCCTCTTCTGTACCTTACTAACTAGCTCCCTGACAGAACAATATTCTCCCAGACTTTTGCATCATGATACCTGCAGAGATATGTGAGCTTATAATATGCTAACTGCATGAGACCACTGCTGTTTTTCTACCATGAACAGACTCGCTACAAAGTTCTGTTTACTTCCTCTTTAAATGCACGTGGTATTTATTATTTACTGAGCTGATTCTTCTGAAGGCTGGACTTTTGTAACACTTTGCGAGTCACCGTGCTTTTCTTTACTTGTCGAGCCTTCCTTGCAGATGGGAGGTCTCACCAAGATGCTCCAGGGTCACCCACACCACTAAACTACATGACCCCCCAAAATGCTCCCAGGCGCATCTTTCTCAACAACCAGGGTGAGTCTTGCTCAACCTGTTTCTAACGCCACTAATATTTCTTGACCGGGGCTGGTTCAGTTTGGGACATGACCTTCTTTTATTCCCTCCATTACTGGCCGTAATGTTGGGAAGATGGATTTGCTTATGGATTTGATTATAGGCCCTGATTGTCAGGTTCTCTATCGAGGGGCAAATACCCAGAAACAGTAGAAAACAAGGAACCTGGAATCTGGTTGCTTCTCTATGTTTGGATTTTTTTGGTTTGCTTTGTCTAAAGGAATTTGGGACCTCGGGACATGTGGGACCCCCATCTCTTTGCCACTGGGTTAGGACACACTGATTTAATTACATGTGCCACCACCTAATGACTAGTAATTGGTCCCTAAATGGTGACAGGACCCGCATGTCATTTGTTTGGTTTCTCACCATTAAGAACTCAAATCACTGAAAAGGAAATAAAAAACTGTGCTCTTAGGATTGGAGAGCAATCCCCGAGTCAAAAGAATATTCTGACGAAATACCCTTTTTTAGGGCCTGTTAATTTCTTATTGCTTGTTTTTGTCACAGTCTTAAGTAATATTTTTAAGCAAAAGTCTACTTCTGACACACACACACACCAAAAAAACAGGATTCCTAATAATTATCACTATTTGCTATGGTGTGTTTTTTTTGTTTGTTTGTTTGTTTTTTTTACTTTTTTGTTTTTCTTTTTATGGTGTGTATTTTTTACTAGACTGATGTGCATGTTTTGCCTGCTCTGCCAACTTTGGGTTATGGCCTTTCTCAAACTCAGAAAATTACCAAGGTACCTTTTACACCCAAAGGCTCTTGGAGTTTCCAGATGGCCGCTGGGTAACACCAAAGATGTTCTCCTCCACTTGATTAAAAAAGGGGTGATCCAAATGATTGGGCGTGTTTTGTATTCTCCATATATTGTATTTAATTAGATGAACACTAGAATGAGAGCTGTCCTATGAAGTTTCTAGTATAAGAAAGTTGGCAAAGCAAAAGGAGAGAAATTCAATCTCCCTGAGTTAATATTATGAACATAGGTAATTATATGTAATTTATATAAATATAGCATATAGTAATATATGTAATATAATTACATATGTAATTAATATAAATATATATATTTGTATATTTTTTAAGATGGGGGGGGAAACCCAACAATTTATTTTCATGTACAGAGACTCGCACAATAAGTATCAACAGAGAAATGTCTTTAAAAATAATTTTTTCTAGATTTAACTAAACCCATTCGTCAATTAGTGCCAATCCTAACACATGCTTTACGAGATAAATTAAAAGACCCTGAAGAGCGGTCAATGCCCTTGCTGCCTATAATATTATCTTAATCTGAAAAATGGATCATGCATTATATCTTAATAGAGGACCCCGTTCTCCTCCGTCTGGTACTGTTGATTGTTATAAAAACAGACAAGAGTCATTTAGTCTTATCAACAGGTCTGATTTCCCCCTCACCCTTACTGAAAGGCCTCTGCTGTAAGCTGCAGGTCAGAGACTGAGCCTTCTGAAGGAAATATCAAGAGATGATGGCCTCAGGAGGGGACGTACCACATGCACTTGGCTCTTCGTACTTCAGGGGATGGACAAATGGGTGCAGGCTTCCACGCTGACACCATCACCACGATCATTGCCCGAGGTCGAGGCGGGATCTAAGGGTCTTTAGGCCAGAAGTAGACAACTTTGCAAAGCAGGCTAACTACCCAGGATCAGCAAAACAGGAATTATGACCAAGGATTGGATGGAAGTGATGTAATGGTCGTTAATATTCTATTTTCTAAAAGGCATACAAGAGAACCCTTTTTTCTTTTCTTTTCTAAATCTCTAATCCTCAACTGAGGAGGCTATATTTGCACAAACTGGAATAAAATATTCCTTAAATGGTGCCTTGTTCCAACTAACCCTTCAGAATTCCAGAGGGGAAGCTATAAAAATTTAACATAGATATAAACTCATGACTTAGCAAAGACATTTGAAAATAATACTTCTGTTGAAAACAACATATATAATTGGCCTTGTCTACACCACCACTCAGAAAAATTGCTAAAAGACATTCCAAGGGCCTTTACTGAAGCACTTTTCTTCTCATGATCAACAGTTCTGTAAGTAGGTTCAATACAAACATGTCCTCCTTCCGAACAGGATATAATTGGGTAAATCAAGTTTGTAACCACACATGCCAGAGACGTCACATTTAAAGACAAATTTCATTTAATTAGACACAACGAGCCCGATGCTAAGAAACAAGGACTGTACTTCCCATGAGGGAATATGGCCTCCCCAGGCCTCCAGGAAACTGGATCATGGCTGGTGGAGTCACAGCCTTTAAGACTGTGGAGTCATTCCTGCTGGCCCAGAAACACTGGCAAATTCGGGAATTCTCCCAAAAGAAGGTACCCTACCGTTACAGGTTGTAGAGGCAAACCCGACAGAGGTAAATTGGATGGTTCTGGGCTCCTGATCTCAGACAGTAAGACAAGAAAACTTAGCACACACACATTAAAGTTATGACCCAGAGACTCTGCAGAGTCTCTTGACAGAAGTTAACTCTCAAACCTTAGGATCACATGCTCTAATTTTAATAACCATACAACTAGGGAGACTTGATTCATCAACACCTCACTACATACACCTCTATGTACATAAAACTGGCCAAACTTCTAAAAATCAAAGTAATGGCAAAAATCAGAAAACTGCTGGAACAAATTTATGGGGTCAAATCCATGGCTTGGGAGACCTGGGAACAAGAAAAACAGACTGGCGCCTCGTCTTGCTGCCCTTCTGCCATTTGTTTCTTACTATCCAACCTACACATCATGCCCCAAAGTCTGAGAAATAGACAAAACAAAACATGTTGCACCCTGGGATAAAGCATACAAAGGCAGTGGAGAGAAGTGAATAAATGACAACAAAACAAATGAAAAAAACAAGGTCCCTTTGTCTAGCATTCGTCTCCCAAATAAAGAAAACCTTGAGAGCTTTCTGTAAGTTACAAACTCCATGGCAAAAACAATTTTATCCCCGGCTTTTTCAATGCTGATGCTGGCAAACACATAGCATTGTCTACAGATATGAGAGTCATCCTGTGAGAAAAGTGCTGTGGTTTTTCCCCTCTGAAGAGACAAACTGCAATCTTGGTAAACTTTGGTTTGTTTAAACCTTTGGTTTAAATTCCTATGGTATTTTTATTTGGTGAGCCAGTCTTTCTGATGTCTGTACTCCCCCGCAAAAACATTTCTTGGTTTCATTTGTATCTCTGAATCTCCCTTACACACACTGGATGACTGTTAAGCCCCATGAGGGCAGGGGTTTTGTCTGTTTTGTTCATTGCAGTATTCCCAGCACGTCTGGCTTATAGAAGAGGCTCTGTCATTATTTGTTAAATGGATGAATCATATGTCCTATAAAAGCTAGTTCTAGGTATTCCACAAATATTAAACAAATGCCTAGATGCTTGTGGCACAAACTGGGGATGTGGACATGGAGGAGACCAAGCTCTGGCCTTCAAGAGCTCCCAATATATTTGGAGTGGTGGGCAAGTAACCAGAGATAAGTACAAGACAGCCTGCCACTGCTGTGATGGGGACCACAGGGCCTGTGGAGCCAGCTCAGGGGGACCAAGGACTTTCTGGAGGAAGCTGGACTGCAAGATGGACAGGAGAGGCCAAAGAAACAGGGTAAAGGAGGGGAAGGGTGTCTCAGGTAAAGGACCCAACGTGTGCAAAGACCTGCAGATGAGAAAGAGTGGAAAGGGTAGTGCAGTAGTGAGAGCTGAGGTCAGTGAGGTCCACGAAGGCCATATCATAAAAGGCCTCGAATGCCAAGCAAAGAATTTGGTCTTGACCCTGAGGGCAATGGGCACCTAGAGAAGGTCCTTGCCACTCCTTGCACCAGGTCCATGCACAGGCACAGGTGCTGAGCTGAAACAGGCTGCAGCAGGGCAGCACCAGGCAGGCCACTCACCTGGTGTGCTGCTGGAGGTGGGAGAGCTGTCGGAAGGACTTATCACAGTAGGAGCAGTGGTAGGGCTTGACGCCCAGGTGGATGCGCAGGTGCTGGGCCAGGTAGGAGGCGTTGGCAAAGGACTTGGAGCAGTGCGGGCACTTGTGCGGCTTGGCCTCTGTGTGCGACTTGGAGTGGATCTGCATCTCAGACTTGGTGAAAAAGGTCAGCGGGCATACCTTACACCTGTGGGGCAAGAGGCAGGTTCACACCTGGGAAGACCCCGGCACCCCCCTGCCTGTACAGCTCAGGGGATACCTTCTGCAGCAGACATGTGCACCTGGGACAGAGCTGTCCTGTGAGGAGTCCCGGGGGGCAAAGGTCCACCTGGGAAAGTTAGGGGCGGGCTCCCTGCCTGAACAACTTCCAATCTGGAGGAGAAAGCTCTTCTACCCGGGGGCACATTTCCAGCAGCCTGGGCAGCAGGTTCACATCTCATAGGGAAGAGAGGCCCCTTGACCCTTGTGAAGGTTTGCCCAGAGCCATACCCCATGGTCCTGGGGGAGGGGCTCTGAACCTGGCTGCACCTTACAATCATCCGGGGAGCTTTCAAGAAAGGCTGACCCCTGGCCCTCCGCATGCCCCTCCTAACAAATGGCATCAGAATTTTTGGAGCTGCAGCCCTGGTACTGGCATTTTTTGAATGCTCCCCAGGTGATTCTAATGTTCAAGGTTGAGCACACTGCTTGAAGGGTGGAGGAAACAAACTCCCATGACCCCAGACTGAGGTGGGGCAGCCCCCAGCCCCACTACCTCTGAAGGGATGTGGGCACAGCTTGTCAGCAGGTCCCGCCCCTGGACCTTGGCCCCCACTGTCAGCCCCTGGGGCCCCTCTTTCCAACCCCGATTGCTGGGCTCCTGGAGGCAGCCCTTGGCGCAAGCCTCTGCCCCAAGCCCACTTGGACCCCTTCCCGCTGAGACCCCCACCTGTATGTCTTGCCCTCCTTGGCAGTCTCGCCTGAGGCCAGGATGGGGTAGGGGACTACGAGAACAGGGGGGCCCCCTGGGTTCTCCGCCTTGATCTTTTTGCGGCCGCGCTCGGACTTGGGGGGGCCAAGCAGGCCATGGCCCTGGATTGTCTTGATGGAGTCCAGGAGGGGGGGGCTGGTGATCCCTGAGATGAGGGTGGGGGACGAGGCGATGAGGCGGCTCTGGCTGGTGGTGGTGGGTGTGGACGGGGTGCTGGTACCCGTGCCCGCGCTGGACTCGGATGTGCTCACAGCCGGGGTCCGGGAGGAGAGCCCCAGACCTGTGAAGACATGGGGATGGGGGCAGGGGTGAGGGGCAGCTGGGGAGACCAGCTCAGCCCTGGCCACCCAGCTGTGTGACTCTGGCAGGTTACCTGCCTTTCTGAGCCTCCCCTACTCTTCGTAAATTATTACCCAGGGATAACTAAATGAGAATGTGTAAGATGCCCTAGATACCTAAGGACTAACCTGAGTTAGGTAACAGGCGCATTGGAAATAATTCAGACCACAAGAAAAAAACTTGAAGCACAAGATGTTCACTACTGTGTTATTTATAATAGAAAAAGTTACAGGCAACTGAAATACGAAACATTAGGAAAGGAGTCAATGAACTGCAATCAGTCTCCTGTCCTGACCATTAACTGCCCATTAAAAAGGTTATGTTTATATAAAAAAAAAAAAATTTTTTTTTTAAAGACGTAGGTATGCACAAAAAATGTAAGCAGGAGGAGATATACCAAAATGTGATGTGGACGGTAGAATTAGGAGTAGTTTAAAAAAAAATTTTTTTGGGGGTTTAACTGTACTTTCTGATTCTTTGACAATAGCCTTTTTTGTTTTTACTTCTGTAATAAAAGTTACTCTTTTAAAAATGAGGGGACTAGAAACATTTACAATATCAGGTTAAGGAGACAAAAAAGATGAAATTGGTATCTATCATATAGTCAAAGATATGCTTTAAAAAAAAAAGAAACCAAAACTCTGTGCTTTGAAAAAGATACTATCCAGAGTTGTCACAAGTATGTTTTGAATCGCACAGCACATGTCGGTGGGAGTGTACATGTATCAACTTTAATGGAGGGTTGTTTTGGCAATAACCATTAAAATGTTAAATGTACATAACTTTTGACCAAGCAGTTCTAGAAATCACCTAAAGAAATATTTTCAGGTGAACACAAAGACTGTGTACGTGGACCTTTCATACAAAATTGTGCTCAGACAAAACTAGACACAACCTCTTTGTCCTCAGTGGGCTGCGTATAGAGATGAGGTCCATCCTCATTACGGAGGACTGGGCAGCCCCGACACCATGACATAGAGATGGCCAAAATGTGCTGTGGGGTAAAAAAGCAAATCACAGACAGTAGGAACCCATCTATTTCTTTAAAAACACACACCCGTACTACGTATGTATATAGACAACATGTGTGTGTGTCAGTGCACAGGAATGGATCTGCGAAGACACACGCCCAAACAAAATTATGTGTAAATTGTGGTTCTCTTTAGGGAGGAAGAATGTATTGGTAACAGGAAGTTTTCATACTTTGTCTATCTGCATCCATATTATTTGAATTTTTTTACCTGGAGAATTCATCCACTTTTTACATCTGTGATTAAAGGATAAAATAAAATAAATTATAGAGAAAACATATGAAAATGCTAACAACAGTAGGATTAGGGCTAATTTCTTCTCCTTTCAGCTTGCCTGCAAGTCCTAAATTTTCTGTAATGGCTGTGTATTACCTTTATCATAAAAAAATGCGCCGAGTATGTTTATGACAGAACGGTGAGTAGGAAAAGCAAGTGAGTAGGAAAAGCAAGTTAAAGTCACGGGTACAGTCCTACCACAAGTTCAGCAAAACACACATGCATATTAAAAAACAAACAAAAAAGATGGAAAAGGAAGGAAATAGACCAAAAGGCTCTCTAACTGCTGGGTTAGGAGCTGGGGATTAGGAGTGATTTTTTTTTCTTTCTTTTTTTCCAAATTTCTCTTAATATGCTTATATTACTTTTTTTTAATATTACTTTTATAACTAAAAAAACCAAATTTAATAAACTCATAACAGGGGACTACAGCGTGTGGCTAGGGCCTGGGGGAGGTTCACTGGGCCCCGTAAGTCTTCGGCATCTCTGAAAGGAGGATGGAGGGGAAGAGAGGCGGGGGTGCCTGGCTGGCAGCAGGGGCGAACCAGGGGAGGAACACAGGCCCAGCCACAGTGGCCTCCAGAGAAAGCCTGTCCACCAGGCTCTGAGGTGGACACCAGGCACCCCCAGCCATGTGACACCACACCAGGATGTCCCTCTGGCACCCCAGCTTCAACCTATCTGAGACTGAGCTTATGGCCCCCCGCACCCTGCCATGGTTCCATCTCACCTGCAGTGCCTGGGAGTCTCCCTCACCTCCTCCCATTCCTCACCCCTACATCCAGTCTAGCACGCAGCCCTGTCCACTCCTCTCCTCAACGCTGGCTCTGATCTGTCCCCTTCTCTCGGTTCCCAGGGCCTTGCCAGGGCCACCATACTCTCCTGTAGCTCTCCCTGACTCCATGCCTGTCTCCTACCACGCCGGTTTCCACCTTGCAGCCAGACCCAGCTTTCTAACCCAAACCTGAGCATCTCCCTTCCCTACTTAAAAACCTGCCATGGCTCCCCACTGCGCCAGGGCGAAGTCCAAACCGCACAGCCCACAATCTGGTGCCTCTTCCTTTCTAGCCTCAGAATTGGGTAGAGCAAAAGGGTCAGCACATGGGGTCTGGAACCACACTGCCTGCATCTGCCTCTTCCTGGCTGTGAAACTGGGCCTCAGTTTCCTCATCTGTCAAATGGAGACATTAGGGTGAATGCACGAAACGGCTGTTTCTGTAAGTCAAAAACGGTCCATTGTTCAGCCTAATACTAAGAGCAGCAACCACACAGGACTGCTTGAGAGGAATAAAAGGAATACTGGTGAACATATACAGGTGCTCAACTGAAGTCAGCTGTCGCGGCATGGTTGTCATTATCTTCTGGCCTTCCCCACCTAGACTGTCCTACTACCCTCACTTTGCACATGCTGTTGCCTCTTGCTGTTCCATTTCCCTCGTTAACCACCCCCCTCTCCTTATTATCAGCTCCTCCAGGAACTCTGCCTTCCCCCGCCCCCAAGTCTGGTCAGGGTTCATCTCTGGGTTCCCAAAGTTCTCTACGCTGATTTGACTTCCCTGATCAGGCCCGGGTGCACCCACCCTCGTCCTGTCGATTTCGTGGGGGTGGGTCCTCCCCGCACAGGGTCGGAGCACGTCTGGCGGCTGTCTAGTCAGACTAGCCCCGCCGCCGCTCGGAGCTCGACCCCATACCCCGCCCGCCCCGCCTTCCTCACCGAGCCACACGCCATCCTTGCCACGTCCCCCACCCAGGCAGGTATCCGCCCCACCTACCAGGCCCCATCGTACCTGTGACAGTGCTGGTGGCTGGCCGCGCATGCAGCGCCACGTCGGGCTGCGGCACGGCCTGCGGATGCAGCCCCGGCACCTGCTGCAGCTTGGGCAGTGACATGACCGCCTGGCTGCTCTCGGCCGGCGCGGGTGGCACTAGCAGCGGCTGTTGCGACGAGGCCGACGTGGGCGGCAGATGAGGCGGCCGGATCTTCTCCGCCATTAGCTGCTCCTTGATCTTGTTAATCAGGACCAGGTTGTCCAGCTGCAGCCGGAGAGGAGCGGGGCTGAGGGGGCTTGGGCCGCGGCTGGTCCCTTCCCCCGGACGCCAGTCCACCCCGCAAGCCTCAGCCAAGCCCTGGACAGAGCAAAGCAGCTCCAAGAGGGGAAGGGTGGCCGGCCAGAGGGGCGACGCTCCGTCTTACCTGGCTGGGCATGGTGGGAGGAGGGGGCCAGAAGTAGGGGTTGTTAAATCGAGGCTCGGCCATCCTGTGGGGAAGAGAGCGACTGTCACAGGGAAGAGGGCCCTCCCCACAGGCCTGGGGGGAGCGCCCATCAGCTGCCCCATTCAAGTCTGAGGCAGTGTCTGGGATCTCTGCTCCTGCGGGACCTTCACCCGGCAGCAGAGCAGGCCTCCTACCAAGGCCCGGGGAACCATAGCTCCAGGATGAAAAATCTGGAATTCAGCGTCTCCCTCAGTGGGCCCGGAGGACAAAGGTCACATCCAGATCAGAGAGCTCCCAGTCCCCCCCACCCCCATCACCCTGAAACTAGCAGGCCAATCCCCATCCACCAGAAGGGCCGTAAGCTGCACAGCCAACCCCACGGATTCATCGATTCCACACAGAAGCGCCACCACCTCCTCTAACCACCACCCCCGCCAATCCACAGACAAACTGAGGAGTCCTGGGGCAACTTTGTAAATGGCCAGAAAGCAGAGGCAACTGCCCGCCCCTGATCCCTGCCCCTCTGACCAACGGCCCCTCTAGTACCGACATCCTCATGAGAACGCTGGGGGCAACCTCAGTCATCAGATATACAGCCTTTCTAACGGGCAATTTGGCAGGACGACTTATGAAGACCCAAATGATCACTGGCCTTTGACCCAAGCAATTGTACCCTCGGAAAAGTTATCTTTAAGAAACAAGCATGGCCATGTGCAACATTCTACCTACAAGAATGTGACAGAACACTGCTTTAAGGAGAGGGCTGAGGAGGCCTGAGGTGAGGGCAGCCTGGAGCTCTCCAGTAGAAGGATGTGACAAGTCTGCCTGGTGGCCCTCACCTCGCAGGTTTCAGGGTAGGCCTGTGCAACCAGAAAGACTTTGCAACCGGGGAAGTGTGAAGGACGGACCTTCAGTTATTTCAGTCTGCCACGGGGTTCCAGTCTTACAGAGGTATTCCATGAAGTCTTGCTACCTATCCAGTTTCTCTTACTTATCTCTCTTTTATAGAAATGAATAACTAAATATCTAACTGGTATTGGTGCCTAAATGAGATTGTTTATTTTAACAGGCAAGGCCAAAACCAAGTGTCTTCAACCTCTTCTCCCGGTCCTTCAAGCCTGGGAAGCCCCTACCGGAACTGCGGCAGAGGGTTTCAGGAGAAAACCCTCAATCTCATCTCAACACTTGAAGAAAGACCTTTTATGTGAATTATCTCTTGTGATCTTTACTTGAGAAATAGGCACAGAAGATACTAGAACCCCATATTATGGGTGAAGAAACTGAGGCTTGCAGAGAAGAAACCTGTCCAAGACCACAGGGCTGGGTTCCAGAGTCAAGACTAGAAATCAGATTTGCACAAGCTGGTTCCTCTGGGGAATTTGCTTTGCAAACCCCCTTCCTCAGTTGAGCAAATATCCATATGCAAATAACTCAATACCTCTATACAAAACTCCTTGCCTCTTACTCCCAGCCTGAGGGTGTTCTGGGTCTGAGCCTGGCCAGGCTGGGGATCAGAGTATGTCACTCTGGGGTGGCTGCCCTGTAAGAAGAGCTCTCCTGCTCCCACCTCCCAGACACCAAGCTGCCCTTCTCTCTACCCCATCCCTCACAGCCCCACACAAGAGGCCCTTTCTGCCTGGACTTCTCCCTGACTGCTCCCTGGGACTTCTTTCTCAGAAAGACCTCAACACAAGAATAACAGTGAGGAGGCTGCCATTTACCAAGTGACTGCCGTCGGACACTGACAGACAGGTACTCTCATCATCCGCATTTTACAACTGAGGAAACGGAAGTTCAAAGAAGTGGAATGACTTGGTCAAGGTCACACAGCAAGGAAGCAGAGGGCTGAGATTCCCACTCTCAACTGCCTGACTCCAAAGTCCTGCTCATCAGTCCCTTAGCTGTTCAGGCCCAGAAGTTATTAATAACACGAGGTGCATGACAGAATGAATAAATCAAGGAGTAAAAATGAGAATTTTAAAGACAACCCCACACAATTATCTAGCACTGCGCATGGTTTACAAAGCTCTTCTGTACCCGCTGGCATTCTTACCAGAGCCCCGGAAAGCAGGGAAGGATGTTCCCCCCCATTTCACAGAGGAAGAAACTGGAGCCCAGGAGGGAAGCACTTTGCCCCAGGCCACATGGATGTGGAAACAGGAGGGAGTGCTGTGCTGTCATATTGGGCATGGGCTCTGTGAGTTCTCTTCATCTGTAAAATGGGGCAAAGCAGTCCTGGACCAGAACTCTGCCCATTGCACCTCAGACAGGTCTGGGGGAGCTGTCCTCTCCTCCTCCTCTTCAGTTCAATGCCAAGTTCTGACTTCTCAAAGCCCCATCCTAGTCAGAAAGGTACGGGCAAGAGGGCGGCTTGCCTAGGGGCCCAGAGCTGCAATAGAGCATCCTCTCTGCTACTTATCGGGCCCCTGGCCAGGCAGGGACTGCTCGTTACCCTGGCTGGGGGAGCAGGCCCACAGAGGGGAAGGGTCTGCCCTGGGTCATTTAATCTGATCTGCACAGCCGCTGCCTGATGTCCTTCTCTGGCTGGTCTGAAGTAATTTAATGATTTGGTCAGTGACCCTGGCCCTAGTGTACACCTACTGTGTGTCAGATTCAGGGGAAGGCCCGTGGGGGGAACGCTTGCTAAGCTCCTACTGAGTGTCAGGCACACCACTAGGTGTGCACCAAGAGTATCTCATGTGAGCCCCTCAACAGGCTTGGGAAGCGGGTATCCACCTGCATGACATGGGGGGCCGTGGCAAAAGGGGAGGGGGAAGTGGTGGCTAGGGCCAGGCTAATCTGCTCAGACATTGTCTTGAGGAAAGAGTCTCAAGCAGGAGAGAGACTGGTCAGATGTGTGTTTAGGACAGGTGATGAGGCAGAGGGCACTCCGGGCAGAGGCAACAGCGAGGAGAGGCAAGGCAGGTTCGGGACAGTAAGCGGCCGCCCACCAGCACCAGAGAGAGCTGGAGTGTGGTGGGGGGTTGAGAGACACAGGCCAGCTGGCAGGGCCTTGAATGCAGTGCTCAAGTTTTGGATGGAATGCTGTTGGTGAGAAGGCATCAAGCAGTGTGCTGGGCCAGGGGAGCAATGAAGCTAAGGGGACCAAAGTCCAAGGGAGAGGCATGAGGGCAGTGCCCGGAGCAGAGGAAATGGGGGCAAAGGAGACGATGTGCTGGAGCTGAGTGTCTATGCCAGGACAGGCAGAAGAGACACCGGTGGTTAGGCAGGACACACAGAATGGGCTTCAAGCCCCAGACGGAAGCCTAGATTCTGTGCTGGGAACCCTGAGACATGCAACCCTGATCCTCGCAGTGGGCCAAGCAAGCTGCCATTTTGGTTATTTTTGTTCTAAAGGGGGAAAAAAGCTGGATGGGTGGATGAGTGGAACACCTCCTAGAGTGGCCTCTGGAAACAGCATCCTGAAGGCAGCTGGTCCATCCACCCATCCGTCCACCTGTCCATCCATCCATCTATCCATTCATTCTGGACACATCCTATGAGCCAAGCAGGGGACCAGTGCTGGGGAACTGGGGTGAAAGAAGAGCCCTGCCCTCTGGGAGCCCCAAGCTAAGTGAAGGAAGCAGACAAGTGATCCACAAGCTTCTGCAAAAAAGAATTTTCATCTGTGAAACCTACTACATGCCACCGTGGACCTCCATGTGGTCAAAGTCAACGGGGCACCTTCATGGCCTCCCTGCCACCTGGGCCCTTCGGGAAGATCTGTGTGCCGTGATCCCTAGGTCCCTCATCTTCTCAGTCTCGTTCACAGCTCCCCCACCCCCAGCTGGGCTCCTCAGGGTAGGGCAGGAGCTTCCTCTCTCCCACGGGCCTCAGTCCCTGGGTGGCCCCTCTACTCTGGGACTTTAAATACCAGCCAACCCCCAAGCCTCCGCCTGCAGCCTAGGCCTCTCCCTGGAGTTCCAGGCCCAGCTTTCCAGCTGCCTCACTAACACGTCCCCCTGGCTGTCTCGTGGGCCACGCAGACTCAGCAGGCCTAAGCTGGACTTGGTCTTCCCTTAAGACGGGCACCTCCTCTAGCCATCCCCAACGCTGAGTGGGCATTCCCATCTGCCCAGATGCTCCTGCCACGGACACACATTGATCCACGTGTCCCCTTCCTCCCACTACCAGCCACATCCTCAGGATTCCCACTCCTTTCCTCAAGTCCTAACTAGAGTCACCCTGCCCGGCCCATGGAACAACCTGCTTCGCTTGGAGCCTAATGCACCCGGGTTCAGATCTTGGCTCCAACTCACCAGCTGTGTGATCTTGGGCAAGTCACTTGCTCCTGCCCCCCGAGTAAGGGACGAGCAGTCCAGAGCCAGGGACCTGACCCCAGATGGTAAGGAAGGGTCAGGGAGGACTTTCCAGGAGGAGATGATGCCTGCTTTGGGTCTTAAAGGATAAGTGGGAGTTAGCCAGGCGAAGAAGGAATGGGGAGCATTCCTGGCAGAAGCAGCAGCCTGAGCAAAGGTCCAGAGGTGAGAAGCACCACAGCGTGTGAGGGGCAGGAGGCTACAGCATTCCAGTATGGGCTAGGGGGTGGGACATGAGGCTAGAGCCATCAGCGGGGGCCAGACCCAGAAGGTCGATGCCTGAATCCTAGGCCTGGAGTCAAGCAGTGAGTGATGGGTTTACAAGGACCCCCTCTGACTGCTACGTGTAGACAGGACTGGAGAGGCCAGAAGTGGAAGCAGTGGGAGGACACCTACCAGGAAGCCCCTGGGGAATGGAGCTGAGAGGCAGAGATCACACCTGGGCCAGGCAGGAGTGGGGCCAAGGAGGCCTGGCGATTTGGTCAGAGCTGGAGGCCAAGGAAGCATGCAGGTTTCCCCCCATGGTGTGGCCTGGGAGGTCCTCTGGAGAGTGACGTGGACAAACATGGCCACAGGAGCATGCAGACGGCACCAAACTCACACACACATGACAGACACAGACCTACAGCCCCAAGCATGGACAGATGGGGACACAGCAACTCCCGTGAGCAGGAACCCACAGCCACCAGGACGTGGAGTCACAGGTGTGTGCTGTTCAAGTGGG